TTTTATTTTATGAAGATAAATAAAATTCCTCAATCTTCAATTGGTTCAAGATGAGTAATGGAGATATGTGTCTTCTGGACAGTGCCACAACTCATACAATACTAAGAGAAAAGAAATATTTCTCTTATTTGGTAATGAAAAAAGCATATGTTAATACAATGTCCGGTAGTACAAAATTGATTGAGGGCTCTGGAAGAGCGGCCTTATTACTACCTGGAGGAACATTATTGGTAATTGATAATGCATTGTATTGTAGTAAGTCTTAAAGAAACTTGTTAAGTTTCAAGGTTATTCGCCAAAATGGCTATCATGTTGAGACTGCGACTGAAGGAAAGGTTGAATACCTTTCTATTACTACAATAAATGCAGAGAAGAAAATTGTGCATGAAAAATTGTCTGCATTTTCTTCTGGGTTGTACCATACAAATATTGGTATAGTTAAATCGCATGCCGTGGTAAACAAAAGGTTTACTGGTTCTAATGATTTTATCATTTGACATGACCGGTTAGGCTATCCCGGTTATAATATGATACGCAGAATAATTGAGAATTCACATGGGCATACTTTGAAAAACTAAAATGTTCTTCAATCAAAGAAATTCTCTTGTGCTGCTTGTTCACAAGGAAAGTTGGTTATCAAACCATCAGTGGCTAAGATTAGGGTGGAATCCCCTGCATTTCTGGGACGGATATAAAGTGATATATGTCGACCTATTCACCCTGCATGTGGACCATTTAAATATTTATGGTCTTGATAGATGCATCTACAAGATGGTCTCATGTGTGCTTATTATCAACTCGCAATATGGCTTTTGCAAGGTTGTTGGCTCAAATAATAAGGTTAAAAGCACAATTTCCAGATTATGCAATAAAAACAATTCGTCTTGATAATGCTGGTGAGTTTACATCTCAGGCATTTAATGATTATTGTTTGTCCACTGGAATAACAGTTGAACATCGTGTTGCACATGTTCATACTCAAAATGGTTTAGCAGAGTCATTGATTAAACGTCTTCAATTGATAGCTAGACCATTGTTGATGAGAACAAAGTTATCTGTTTCGGTTTGGGGGCATGCTATTTTGCATGCAGCGACACTTGTGCGCATAAGGCCAACCAATTATCATGACATCTCCCCATTACAATTGATTTTTGGTCAGGAGCCAAACATTTCCCATCTTAGAATTTTTGGTTGTGCGGTATATGTTCTAATTACTCCACCACAACGTATAAAAATGGGTCCCCAAAGAAGGTTGGGGATATATGTTGGGTATGAATCTCATTCTATTATAAAATATTTGGAACCTAAGACTCATTTTGATGAATCAGTATACCCAACATTTAGGGGGGAGAACCAAAAAGCAGTTGGGAAATGGAGATAGATTGGAATTCACTTTCACTGTCTCATTTAGACCCTCGAACAAATCAATGTGAGCAAGAAGTTCAAAAGATAATTTATTTGCAGAATATTGCAAATCAACTGCCGGATGTATTACTAACCTTCCACGGGTTACTAAATCATATATCCAGCTGCTAATGCTCAAGTTCGAGTTGATGTCCCGATAGGACAAATGTTAAGGCAAATGAGTCTGGACCACGTTTAAAACGTGGTAGACCAATTGGTTCCAAGGATAAAAATCCTCGAAAAAAGAAAGGAATAAATGATCAAGATGGTCATAATATGAAGGCAATTGCTCATGAAGAGCTCCGAGACATAATAAATGATGACACCAAAGTGGAGGTCTATGTACCTGAAAATAATGAGAATGAGGAAATCTCTATAAATTATGTCTCGATGAGAAAAATGTGGAATCGAAATAATATTGTGGTGGATAATATTTTTGCCTATAATGTTGCAGTTGAAATAATACAACAAGATGAAGATTTGGAACCAAGATCTGTCAATGAATGTAGACAGAGAAATGATTGACCAAAATGGAAGGAAGCAATTCAAACGGAATTGGCTTCACTTGAAAAACGTGAAGTTTTTGGACCAATAGTCCAAACACCTGAAGGTGTCAAACTAGTGGGGCACAAATGAGTTTTTGTACGAAAACGAAATGAAAATGGTAAAGTCGTAAGATATAAAGCACGACTTGTGGCACAAGGTTTTTCGCAAAGGTCTGGCATTGATTATGAGGAGACATATTCACTTGTGGTAGATGCAATTACCTTCAGGTATCTAATAAATATGACGGTTCATGAGAAGCTTGAAATGCATCTAATGGATGTTGTCACAGCCTATTTATATGGCTCACTAGACCACAATATTTTTATGAAAATCCCTAAAGCACTAAAAGTGCCTAAAGCATATAAAAATTCAAAAGAAGTTGTTCAATAAAGCTTCAGAAATCCTTATATGGATTGAAACAATCAGCGTGAATGTGGTATAATCGTCTTAGCAAATACTTGTTAAAGGAAGGGTATCAAAATGACTCTATTTGTCCTTGTATTTTTGTACGAAGGTCAAAATCTGAATTTGTAATAATATTTGTTTATGTTGATGACTTGAACATCATCGGAACTCCTAAAGAGCTTTCAAAATCTATTGAGTGCTTGAAGAAAGAATTTGAAATGAAAGATCTTGGTAAGACAAAATTTTGTCTTGGCCTTCAAATTGAACATTTGGCAAATGGAATATTTATCCATCAATCAACATATACTGAAAAGGTTTTGAAGCGATTTTACATGGATAAATCACACCCATTGAGTACCCCGATGGTTGTGAGATCTCTCGATAGAAATAAAGATCCATTTCGACCCCAAGAAAAGGATGAAGAGATTCTTGGTGATGAAACACCATATCTCAGTGCTATCGGGGCACTAATGTACCTTGCCAACAATACCCGACCAGATATTTGCTTCGCAGTAAGTTTATTGGCGAGATTCAACTCATGTCCAACAAGAAGACATTGGAAAGGTGTTAAACATATATTCAGATATCTTCAAGGAACAATTGATATGGGGTTGTTGTATTCTAATGCATCCAAGTCAGAATTGATCGATTATGCAGATGCGAGATATTTGTCTGACCCACATAAAGCTAGATCTCAGACATGTTATTTATTCACATATAGAGGTACATCTATATCATGGCGTTCGATGAAGCAAACAATAGTTGCTACTTCTTCAAATCATGCAGAGATAATAGCTATTCATGAAGCCAGTCGAGAGTGTGTATGGTTGAGATCAATGACTAAACACATTTTGCAATTATGTGGTCTTTTGTGCAAACGAAGATTCCAACAATATTGTATGAAGATAATACTGCTTGCATAACTCAATTAAAGGGAGAATATATCAAAGGAGACCGAACAAAGCATATTTCACCTAAGTTTTTTTTCACACATGATCTTCAACAAAATGGTGAGATAAATGTTCAACAGATTCGTTCGAGTGATAATCTTGCAGATTTATTCACTAAGGCATTGCCAACATCAAAAATTGAGAAGCTAAGATACAAGATTGGAATGTGTCGTCTCCAAGATCTCAAATAAATTTTTTATCAGGGGAGTAAAATACGTGTTGTACTCTTTTTCCCTTAGCCAAGGTTTTGTCCCACTAGGTTTTCTTGGTAAGGTTTTTAATGACGTAACACTCAAGGCGTATTACAAGATGTGTGTACTCTTTTTCCTTCACTAGGCTTTTTCCCACTGGGTTTTCCCTAGTAAGGTTTTAACGAGGCACATTATCTATAAACATCCAAGGGGGAGTGTTACAAATACACTTAATTGTGTGGATGTTTCTCTTAATTCATCTCTAACGTATTGTATGTATTTATTATATTTTATTATAGTTGTACTAACGTATTTGGTTAAAGGATGAAAACACGTGTTTTCTAAATCCTACAAAAGGGTAGTCTTTTCACCCTTGTGAGAACACACTTAAATAATATTCTCCACTCTATACTTCTCATCACAATTTGTCTTCCTTACTTGTTTAGTATTATTATATTTTGCTCTCATTTTACAACAATAGTGTGATAATTGAAACACAATAAACAACATATGACAAGAACTATAAGAGTACGTCTAGTACTACGACAAATACTAACAAGGCCTAAACCTAAGCACGACAAGACAACACTCCAATCTCCATCCCTAATAACCTTCTACCCTAATACACGACTTTCAATTATTCCTATCTAGAGATTTGTCCTCAATAATACGAAGTTGCACCATATCCTATATGATCACCTCTTCACAATAATTTTTTCAGCTTCGCGTACCCCTTATAAGCAATCTCTCGCACCTCCTTATTGGGGTATCAACACACATCGTCTGCATATTACCACTTTCTTTTGGATAACCTCATTCATAATCTTACTGCTCCTAATATGTCCATACATTCATCTCAACATCCTAATTTCTAATACAAAAACACACTCAACCATTGTATTTTAAGAAATCGTATGTCAAAAGTAGATGAATAAAAATAAACAAAACAATATTTATGATCAATCTAATCATGTTCAACTTTATCCTTTGCTAGCAATGAGAAAGTCCACTCTTGGTCCCTTTCCCTCGTATTTCAAACAAATCAATCAAAATCAACAAACTTTTTGGGGTCTATTTGTAACTTTCTAAACTTCAGTACCCAATTATTATTATTCTCTTATTTCCAAATATCACCTCAGCTTTTCTCTCTCTATAACTCATCATCATCTCAATCGGATCTCCCTTAGACCCGAATAATTTTCCGACAAAACCTAACCCTAATTCTTCAATGGCCAGCGATTCCAATGAACCTTCCCGTCGCAAACACCATCGATCTTCTCCTTCCGATGAGGATACTGGAGAACCATTGAAACGCCGTAAGCACCGACACCATCATCGTCACCACCGTCACCATCGCCATCATAGTAAGAAGCACCTAGAGAAATCCGATTCGAAATCCGAGAAGGAAATGGTTAAATCAAAAAGTGAGATTGAGAACGGAGGTAAACCAGGAGAAGAGATGAAGATTGGTACTGTTGTTGGTGTTTCTACTTTAGGGATTGATTATGATATGGAGGAAGGAGAAATCATTGAGGATGATGTTGTGGATACTGCTGCTGTTGGTGATGCTGATGAGATTATCGTGGCCAAAAAATTGGGGAATGAAGATGATTTGAACATGGTCTGTTCAGATTTCTTTCGATTTTAATTGCTGCATAAATATCGTGTTTATTTATTTATTTATTCTTCCAGGGCCTGTTTGGTTGCTGCCATGGTTCTTTGAAGATTAACAATACAATTTAGTTTAGTTTTGAAAAAAAAAGTAATCTTTTTGGTAAGTAGTGAAAAACTTCTGTTTTCAAATGCAACATTTCAACTTTAAGCAACCAAAAAAGGGGCCTTTGTTTAGATTTTTACTATTTTTAGTGTCAAGATATGTTAAATTAATGTTGTTTCAACTGTTTGATTAATAAGTATGTTGCATAAAACAGACATGAGAATTATGTATTCCATACAGAGCTTTGAAGTCCTGATGATTGAGGGCTTTCTTTTTATTAGTAAGAAACTTTCTCGTGACTGTTAAAATTTGAATCTTTTTTGTCTGCTAAAATATTGGAAAATTGGACTTTTATCATTTAATTCAGCTCATATTTCTTGTCTAGGAATTGCATGAAGCTAAAGGACAAGGGCCTGCAGACAATGTTGAAAAAGTTGACAGAGATTCCACTGTTTCAGGACGGCATGATGAGCAAAAGCAAAGTAGAAAGGCTGATAGTTCTAGAGAAAGAAAGTCCAGAGTCAAGCATTCTGCCAATGGTAGTTACATATATGAATTTCATAAATTGGAGTCTAAACCACAGAAAGAAGATAGTATCGCTGGTGAAGAAAGTACAGAACAAAAGAGCTATCATGAGGATGAAAGTGCTTTACAGGATCAAATAATAAAATCCTTAACTCCTGAAAATGTTGGGAAGAGGCATAGATCTGTTAGGGTATCATCTTCACATTATGAGCACCCTGAAGAGAGACATGTTACAAAGTCATCCAAGTCACCTGATCGCTCCAGAGGAAGATCACGATCAAAAAGTGTTCTGGAGGAGTCTTTCCTTGTACCTAAGTCTCGTGAGATAGATGACACTTATGAAAAGGAAAGCAGATATAGAAGTAACTTTGATGATGAAAAAATTGGATACAACCGGGACTATCGACATGGAAGCCGAGAGTCTTCAAGGGATAGGGAAAAGGAGCATAATTCTTGTAACAGTAGATCCTCTAGAGACAGGTATTATAACAGGGAGAGTGTTGATAGATTTCGGGAGAGTATGGAGAATGACAGGGATAGAGTAAGAGAGAAAGACAGGGAGCGTGAGTTGGCTAGAGAAAAGCGAAGGGAGAGCGATAAGGAGAGGGAAAGGGAGAGCGATAAGGAGAGGGAGAGGGAAAGAGAGAAAGCTCGAGATAGGGAAAGGGATAGAGAAAGAGAATATGAGAGGGGGAGAGGGAGAGAGAGGGAAAGGGAGAGGGAGAGGGAGAGGGAAGAGAGAGAAAGGAGGAATAGGGATAGGGAAAGCAGGGGACGTAGTAGGGAGGCAGATAGGGATAGAAATAGTGATAGGTACAGCAGGCAGCAGGATGACAGTCTTGCTTATAATAGACGTAATAGACATTATGAGACTGGCATTAATCACTTTAAAACTGAGACCACAAAGCAACATGCTGTAGAGACAGAGAGTGAGAGATCTAAAAGGTATTGTTAATTCTAGCTAGTGACTTTTGATATCAGAACCTCTTCATCAGAGGTGTTTTACATAATATGTGGTTCTTGTTTTTCTCATTTTTGGTTTATCGCAGAGATAAAGTTGAGCAGGAGGATTATCAGGAAAAAGTTGTTTTCCAGCTTGCTGAACAGGAAGAAGAAGATGAACTTGATAGAATTAAGGAGGAGAGCAGAAGGCGAAGGCAAGCTATTCTTGAAAAATATAAGATAAAGAACTCACAGAAGGAACAAGTAACTCAATCTGGGGACGTTGGTAATTTCTTTGACTTGAGATTTCTTGATATATCATTTGATTCTGTTTTGCTGTATTTAATATTCAAAGCTTGGCCTATTCAATACCTTTACGCGAATGACAAGTCTTTGGTTGGTATTTTTCTGTTTTTTCATTTTTTTGTTGTTAAACTCGACGGTGGTAAAACACCTACAGGTTTATCATCTGCGTATTCATGAATATAAGCTGTGAATGTTGTATTTTGGCCAATCAATCTCCCATGCTGCATAGCAGTTTAAGTGCCAAATTTCTGCCTGCTTAATGAGTTTGATTTTGGATTTGCTCTCTTGTATGTTATAGATCTTATTATGTTAGTTGGAGTCTGTTGTCACTCAGGTTTTATGAAGTCTTGCATTGCAATGTATATGATTCTAGAGTTTTGTGCTAAGATATTCTCTATTGATTTTTTGCATGTCTGGGTTGAGTTTCTGGGCTCTAACTATGTTTTTCATTTATTGGCATTAGTTGAGATTCACATGGATCAGTCAACCCAAAAACTGGCAGCCAGACAGAATGTTGTGCAAGAGTCTATTGATGCTAAAAGCAATGGTGCAGATGTCGAGCCAACATTTTCTGTTGGGAAATCACCTCTGCAGGGTGGTCATATTGGTGATGTGCAGGCTTCTGGAGCTGGTGGACTGGGACAGGGTACTCCAAAGGTGTGTTCACATGCCATTGAGATTTAAATGGGGTTTTTCTTTCTGGGGGACTGGTGGTATTCATTCTGCTTTTTTATCTTTCAACACTATTTTCTGGGAGATCTTAGTTCTTGTCCTTAAAGTTTGTTTTAGAATTAGTTGATGCAGTAATTTGCCTTCTAGGTCTGCCTTTTGCTCCAATAGTCTTTTTCCTAAATGCTGGCTTTATCTGATGATTGACTTCCGTTTACTATTCTTTACAGAGTGAGAGGTCGGCTGACATGTTTTGTGACGATATATTTGGAGAATCGCCTGCTGGCATCAGGAAGATGGTCAGTTGCTTTCTTAGAAACATAGTCAGAGATTTTGTGTTTGCTAATTCTTGGATTTAGCTTGTGTTGACTTTTAATATTAGAGAGATTGGGCACTAAAAGCATGCATACTGTTAGGTAATCCAATGTAGCACTTGTTATGTTGGCCATCTCATTGTTTATTTATTTTTAATTCAACTAATAGTGAGCAAACCTTTCTTTCCTGCTGAACCAAAAATGACAAACAGTGAACCATTTTGGAAACGATGGCTATAAAATTCCTCTCACTACATTATGTCTGTTTCTTTTAGATCTTGGAGATTTTGTAATACCATTTAATTTCAGTTTAAAGGGTGGTGTCTAGGAATATAATGTATTGTTAGAACCCTGGATTGTATGAGTCCCTATATTTCCTTGCTCCTCGTTGCCCAAACGATAACAAAGGAAAACTCCGCTCTAACAAGAGAGAAAAAGAGGATGGGTTTCTTACTTTGTACTTGTACTGAAACTGTGGGAAACATATTACTCTGCTTATAGGAAGTCCTTTCCTTGTTTATGTAATAAGCACCCGAATTTCATTTTTCTCTGGTTTTATTTGTTGTCTGTCAGGGCAAAGGAGATGGTGTGGCGGTTGAGCGCAGTGGCCTTCATGATAACTGGGATGATCCGGAAGGGTATTATAGTAAGTATTTCATCTCACTTGTTACCAGGATCTTTCATATTTCAGCTTTTACTTCCATGCTAGTGGTAGTGTGCTACTACATCTGATACTTGGCACCATTTCATTTTTGCTCATGATAGCCTCTCTTTGTTAATTTTTATCCGAAGATGCTTGATAAATTTTGAGTACCCTATGACTCATTTTCTGTTTGCTTCTGTTTAATAACTATAGTAGTGCAATATTTATTCAGGTCCAAAAACACAATACATAAGGAAAAAATGTCTTGAAGTTGAGATTTTCTTTTTGCTAGTTGATATTATTTTTCCCATTATCCATCGAGTTTAGAACCTTGCAGCTCTGACCCTCTGGGATATCTCGGTTAGAAAAAAAGTTGATTTAAGATTGGCAGGAAGTAGTTTCAGAGAAGCTTGTTATGTTGATTAATTTTTGCTATGATGGCTGAAAATCGCTGTCTTAGTTGGTGTCTACTTGTCGGTTTGCAGGTTATCGGTTCGGAGAAATTCTTGATGGCCGTTATGAGATTGTTGCTGCTCATGGTAAAGGAGTCTTTTCTACTGTTGTCCGCGCTAAAGATCTCAAGGTTAGACCTGGTGACCCTGAGGAAGTAGCAATAAAAATGATACGCAATAATGAAACAATGTGAGTAGTTTCTTAGTTTCCCCATTTTGTGCTGCCCTTGATAGATCTGGTGGCCTAATTATGTTGTTTTCATCCTTTTCAGGTATAAAGCAGGTATGGAAGAGTTGGTCATACTGAAGAAGCTAGTTGGTGCAGATCCTGAAGACAAGCGCCACTGTGTTCGATTTATTTCTAGCTTCAAGTACCGGAATCATCTCTGTTTGGTTTTTGAGTCTCTTCATATGAATCTCCGTGAGGTTTTGAAGAAGTTTGGACGTAACATTGGACTCAAACTCACTGCTGTGAGGACGTACGCAAAGCAACTTTTCATTGCTTTGAAGCATTTAAAAAATTGTGGTGTGCTTCATTGTGATATTAAACCCGACAACATGTTGGTAAGTCAACTGTTTGTGTATCTTCTTCTTTCCGTGGGCTAGCTAATTCTCCGACTTCACATCTGCTGAGAGTTTTACTTTGCTTCCCTTAAGTTGTAATATATGTTAACCTTTCTGTATTTGATTATTTAGGTAAATGAAGCAAAAAATGTGCTGAAGCTTTGTGACTTTGGTAATGCTATGTTTGCTGGAAAAAATGAAATTACTCCATACCTCGTGAGCCGTTTTTACCGTGCCCCAGAGATCAGTAAGATCAATTCTTCAATATTTGCTTTTTATATTTTTGGGACTTCCCTTTCTCTTTGTTTCTATTATTCAATGCTCCGACATTGATCCTAAGTACTTTTGTGAATTGTGTGTTTTTGTTTGATTAAGTTTCTGTATTATGTGATGTTGCAGTTCTTGGCTTGTCGTATGATCATCCGATGGATATATGGTCAGTGGGTTGCTGTTTGTTTGAGCTCTATGCTGGGAAAGTGTTATTTCCAGGTCCAACTAATAATGACATGCTTCGTCTTCATATGGAATTGAAAGGTCCATTTCCAAAAAAGATGCTTAGAAAGGTTCGTCTTAGACATTCTCCATATTACCCTAAGCTAATTTGGAATATTTATGATTTGAAGCTATTAACCTGGTTAAGTAGTTGCTGCGGACAATTCTAGGTGATTGCAGTAGGTGGTGCTGCTTTTGCAGTTTTTGCATCTTTCTTAATAATTGACATGATATGGTCAGTGTGGAAACAATAATTCTTTCCGTTCTCTTATTTCAGGGTGCATTTACAGAACAACATTTTGACCAAGATCTCAATTTTCTTGCCATCGAAGAGGATCCTGTTACAAAGAAGGTCGTTTCTTGTAGACTTTAGACTGTCTTGTCATTCCCAGATAATCAAACCATTGATAGTCATTAATGATAACCTTGCTATATATTAAATTTTGGTTGCACTTGTATACTTTTGCAGGCCATAAGGAAGCTGATTGTTAATATCAAGCCAAAAGATATCAGTTCAATAATTTTGGGCTCTCCAGGTGAAGACCCAAAGATGTTGGCTCACTTCAAAGATCTTATGGAGAGAATTTTTGTGTTAGATCCAGAAAAGAGAATGACTGTTTCCCAGGCATTGAGCCACCCATTCATCACGGGCAAGTGAATGACAACAATGATTTTATGACCAGGGACATGCTGTTGCACTAGATACTAGTGTATTATGATCATATGATCTTAGTTTATTTTCAGTTCTCTAATCATTGGGCTTTATATGTCTTTATCTACTATCATGGGTTAAGTGCTTCGGAGATTGGCATGGTTGAAGTTGCAGAGAAGATTGCTGATTTTGGGAGATCTATATCTTGGCAGTTCTTTCAGTGCAATGTTTTCTGTTCTATCGTAAGATAACTTGCCAAAGGCGTTTTTCCCTTCTGTACTAATTCTTGATGGTGACATTATAAAGAGCTTCATACAATTTTAAAATAGTGAACATGTCTCAAGTGGTACTTTGGACTCAAGTCTTGAGAATGGAGAATAACTTGTGCCAAAATAGATATTGACAGAAGCATGGTTCTTCATATGTCTCTGTAAATAAACACAATGAATTATCTGTTCACTCTGAATGTAGATTGGGATCTGTCTTTTTATTTTTTTTCTCCCTTTCTGTACTTTTAGTTTTCTTGACTCTTGTCTTCAAATCTCTGATTTAATTGTTTATTTCTGTGGGATTATATAGTTTTCAGGCCTATTTCTTAATTGTGTATCATCTCTCTTTTGTTTTACATACTGTTCAGAATCCTCGGGTCCTGGAAAGTCTAATTTACTTTTTCCTTCAGGATATCTACCAGGGCATTGATGCAAGATTCAGTGATTTAGATGCTTAAAAGGCACCCTGGAGAAGGTACCTTGGTTTGTTTGTTAGGAATTACTGTGACTCCCTTTTAATGTTGTGAATCAACTTGATTCCTTGGACATCAGTGATAATTTGTGTTTTCTTGTTCGTGTCAATTTTTAATTTTTCTCGACAAGTTCTGCTTTCTGAACTTTAATTTGGTCCTGTCTGAATAATTGCACACTTGAGGGTGGTTTGTTAATGAGCCTCCTTAGGTTAGAATAGTAAAACTATCAAGAGCTAAGGGTTCTATATTATTTGGAAATAATTTGGAGTCATTGTTATTTTTTCTATTTCTTAAATTTTTTTCCGAAAAACACTTTCTAATAAGTTGCATTGCATCTGATCCATGGTATGGTCATCCTGGAGCAATGTATGACTGGAGAATGATCAGATGCAGCCTTGAAGTGAGTTGTTTGAGTGAGTTGTCAATTTTATTTTCTTGCTGTTTGTTCAATAAGAATAATATATTCTACATCCCTTTGAGAAGTGTGGTATTGATGTGGCTTTTTGTCTTGCTAGGGTGTGGTTCCATGCATCTGCAGTTCTAGTAAGTATCCTTGAATTTCATTACGTCTCTGGTGTAATAGGTGGGTATCTTTTGAAAACCTGATATTCTTCTATCAATGTATTATTACATTCAAAGTTTGGTAGTCCTCCATGGAATATAATTCAAATTCTTAACTGAATTTTGCTAATAAAATTGGTCATTGTGGATCAAATCTATCTCAAATTTCAATTGTCCCTTTCCTGAACACTAACTTCCCGTGCCAGATTTTTAGTCATGAAAAAAAAACATCTGTCTAGCTTGCATTGGAATTTGACTTTATAGATCCCTCCTCCAAGAAGCATTGCATTTTTCTCCAATCTGCACGGTCAAGGAACATTTGACAAGCCTCTCATGTTTATCTTCCTCCACCTTCTTAGGCACCTACATATTGCTCCTCTGCCAAGCCTCTCCGACTTTCTCTATCCATTTTTTAGCCGTTAAACTTTGTTAGTCATGACAAGCTCAACTTGTGACTATACCTTTTTATCCATAGGGTTTGTCCTTCTCGAAGGATTTGAGGTGTGATGTATAGCCACGAGTCTTTAAACCCCTCAATGCCTGACTACCATTTGACTAGTAATCTTTCTTTCTCACACTAAAGAATTCTGCACTCAAGTTTGGTATAATTGTTTTTGGATTATGGTACTTTTCAGGAAATTCAAACTTCAAATAATGTTTAGAGGGGACAAGTGCATGGCTTTTATGAGATACTTAACTGAATAGTCATTTCCTTAAAAAAATTCTTCTCAAGTAGAATGTAGCCCTAGGGAATTTCTTTTTTGATGAAAGTAGGAATGTGGAATTTCTAAATTCAGACGAACACTGTAAAGGGACTATTTTCAAATGTCAAACAAAAATCATATTTTTAATGAGGTAGTGTTGCAAATTAAAGCATCACTAAAAACATATGAAAGCTCATAAGGAGTCAAATAGTTAGGCATGCAATTAAACTACTGGCAATCTTGCTGCATTTTGCAAAAGTAATGTGATATCCAAGATGAGGCAAAACAAGTGAGAAATAGCATATACATGTATAAGTTCGTTTATTTTGTTTAATCGGCTTATTTTTTCAGAAAATCGAGAACTCAAATGTAAACGAAAATTTTGATTTTTTCGGTTTTTGGTCGGTTCATGGTTTATGTTTTTAATATTATCAGTTTTTCAATATGGTTCTTCAGTTAACTGGAAAATCAAAATGAAAGAGGTTTTGGGGTTCTCTATACAGTACTCGTTAGTTTAAAAAGTTCTCTAGCCCAATTACACCCTCCCAAGGCTGAAGCCAGAGTTCTGATGCCAAGCCTAGGCTCTTAGCTTAGTTTATGCTAGGGTTCCAAGTCTCTTTTGCTGATGCATTGTCGCCTCACACTCTTACCGTCCCACATTTGTCCTGCATTGGTGCTGTACTGGCCTGCTTTGAGTCCCTTCTCTCTTTCTTAAGATGTCATAGGTAGATTTTAGTGAATTGACTTGATAAAGTTGAAGTGTATCTTTACTCTTGTTTCTGTATTTCTGAATGTAAGTTAAGTTTACCGTAGTTCATTCCTGTTTCTTTAACTCACTTTAACACCGCCTTTGTTTGAGTGAACTCACCCCATTGTTTGTGGTTTGGTTCTCTTGTTATTTATCTTTGGTGAAGCACTCACATACTTCTATCTGACTTGGATCTCTATTTCTGATGTCTTAAAAGTGTTTCGTATTCCTTCTATGGGTTCTCAATCTGTGTGTGTTTACCTTCTACATTTTATTATGTCTTTAGTTAGAATAGCAGCTGTCATTTGAGTTGTTTGTTTTTGGTTCAAGTGTATTTGTTGTTCTTCAGAATTCTTTTGTCATTCTAATGAAGCCATTATAAATTTAAAAATATTCAGAATACATTGAATCCTGCATATGTTGATTCAGTTTGATATTACAAATCACTTCTTATTGTATAACAAGTGACATTACCCATCACTAGTCTGGATAAGTAAGAAGTGTAAAGAGCTCAATTTTCCCTTGAACTATGTGAAATGGTCCAACTTTGCCCTCTGTTAAAAGTTGGGAGTCATCCATATCCTCGCCAGTCGCCATTTAGTTTTGGCTCGAAATCTGAACTTCTAACCATAAGGGCAGATTTCGATCTTTTTCTCTATTATATGAGTTAGACTCTAATCATCCGGAGTAGCACAAAAACTTGCCACGTTGCTATGCTGTCAAAAAAATGCAGCTTCCTAACTACCAAATTTGTTTCACACTCATCACTTATGTATTGTGAAGTAAATTTATAAAAATATATATTTGAAGGGAAGCTTGCTCTGCCATTGTGGGTTCTCTGTTCGGTTTTGCTCTAATCACTTGTGCCTTGAAATATTCTCAGCTGCATTTACTGCACCGATCTGTGTTTATATGTGAGATTATAGCTTGAATGTAAGAAGTGGAATGACCCTCTTTATGTGGGATCATAGTGCAACAACACCATTCGTATTTTGTGCTGTCGAAGGATTTAAAAATTTTGTTCCTCAATTACTCTGATCATTCTTTACTAGCTTCTTGATGGTTAGAGCATTCATTTTTAGTAGTGCTACACACTTCATTTCATTGTGTTTTCCAGTTCTGGTGGTTAGGGATGAGTGTTGTTTTGGAGCTTGACGTTGTCATAGATTGTTAAATGATCATATCATGCCTTGATGCACAACTGTGGATTGAATTCAGATTCTAGTAATTGAGATATTGCTTCATGATTTAGCTTATTGCAACTTTTTTTGGAGTTTGGAAAAGTTATCTCTATGTATGTAGTAGTTAGTTAAACCAGTGCTCCAATTGCGCGCTGCACTAATGCTGAAGAATTTCCTGCCTTCACCTGGATGTTCTGCTTAACTCTTTCGATATTTTAGTGCATAACAGTTGCCAGATTTTGTAGCCTTGATAGTGCAATTCTCAGCTAAGAAAGCCTACTTACGTCTTCAGAATCGCGACTCATGTCTACTTTGATTCTTCTTCAGCCTAATGATGTGTGTGTTGTTCAGCTCGAAAGATTATGTTTGGGCAGCAGAGCCATTATTGATGTTCACACTTATTCTATGAAATATAAATATCAATTTACGTTTTCTCTTAGCTTCAAGTTTCAACATCTGATGAAAGTCTATCAAAAGTGAGAAAGGAGGCTTGTGGTCTGTTTGCTTCATTGTAAACATATCGCCAACGTTAACGATCAAAGTTGCAAATAGAAAAAGAAATATTTTGTCTCATAATCATAAACTAGATGTGTTATGTCAACTTTGTTAAAGTTGAAATAGTAATAATTGAAGAAATAATTTGTTGACAAATCAAAGATTATTTAATTTTTTAACTAAAAAGGATACCAATTAATATGACAAAACTCAATTAGATTCCTACAACGAGTGTATTTTGGTTGCATCAAAATTCAATGACGTAGAAAAGTATAAGCTTATGGAAGTTTCATTGTTGTTACATTTTTTTGGGTTACAATGATTGAAAGCTAAAGATTATGAAAGAAAGAAAAAAAAGGTCAAGAATCTATAAATGCAATAACGTTAAGAAAATTATCATTCATTAGAATTTTGCTAAACCAAAAGTAAATTAACACTTTCTGGTTTGAATAAATCATTTGGAGTACACTTGAATTTTCTTTTGATTACTGAATGTACCATGAAAGTTCCAAATCTATCACCTAATATTAATTTATACCAATTTATTATAGTTAAAATCACAAAAAATGGATGAAGATGTGTATTGATGAATTATATTTAGTAAAATATAAGTTTTTGTGAAGACATTTATATATCATGGGTTGGTATAAACATCGCATCCAGATAAACTTTTTATATACTCACAAAATGCTACTAGTACTAGTACGAACGGAGTCCTTTGTAATAATTTACCTGTTTTTTTTAATATACTATCAGTCTATCACTGTATAGTTAAATACTTTAAAAATCCAAAACTATTGAACCTTGCACTTAGAAATTAGATAAAAATAAATCTAATAATAAAATATATTACTAGTCAATTTATTTTTCATTGTCAAACATATATAAATGGCTGTGACGTCCCTGCTAGGTAAATTGTTATTGTTGACGTCGAGAGGTTTAAATTTCTAATTTCAACTTGACTATCTTTTCAGTCTTCATTGACTGTTCAATAATAATAAAATTTTAATTCTTTCATTTTATTTCATACAAATCCGAATTGGATATCCAATTTGCTTCAGTTTGAGATTATATGCAGGAATAAACTTTTAAAATTTATGATCTTAAATATTTATAACATACTAAAAATATTTTTTGATATTATAATCTTAATTTGTCATGTTTATTTTTATAAAAATAATAGTGTAATTAAAGACAAAATAAGAAGTAAGAAATGATTCAAACGATCACAACGCATGCACACATGTAATACATGCACGTACAGTCGTGTGACAATAAAGCTTTTACTGAAAATCAACTACAAAAAAATAAATAATTTTACTATAGTTATTTAGCGATAATAATATAATTATTATTATATTATATTGAGTGATATATGTAAATATTTGTAACCAAATTCTTTAATAAATATCACTAAAGAATTTAACGATTTTAGTCATGATTACGTAATACACTTAATTATGGTAAACATCAATTAATGTTGATAAGTTTTCTCTTAACCTGAGATGAAGGATGATTAAACAAATTTTACCATTGTTTCAGAATTTTAGATTGTTTGGGGACTTATAGTTTTTATAGTCAAGCATCTTAAAAATTAACTTATTTTGAAAAGTATTTTTTGAAAAAAATATATATATATTTGACCAATAAAGTTTAGAAATATTTTTGAACAGTAATTAGTATTTGATCAAACTTTTTAATCAATACTTCTAAATGTATTTTTCAAAAAAATGTTTTTTGAATTTTATTTTACCTTTTTTAGCTTTGAAAACAATTACATTCAAAAACACTTATTTTTTTCACAAAAATTCGATCAAAGACCTTACTTTTTAATATTTTTTTTAGCATTTTTGCAAATAAAAATAAGCTTGATCAAACAGAATATTAGTCTCAATAAATTTCTTAATGACGTCCAAGGTAGTTTTAATTTTGAAAGGTTCTAGAAACCAAGTGATTATAGCTTCTATAATTAGTAGCTAATCAGCAGTTGTCAACAAGTTTTGAATAATCAGCTTACCTAACACAACCTCTAAAAAGACTATTTTTCTAGCTTTTGTACCAATTTGATAGGACTTGGGACTTTAGTATAAATAAAATTTCATTTTCAAATAACTTTCAAATTTACCTTCTCTCTATTTTGATATATTCATCGTTTTCATTATAAGTGTCATTATTCTTTTCAAATTTATTAAATTTTCGAAGTTAAATATGATCTTAAAATCATAACAATCGTTTATTTATATTTGATAATTAGATTTCATTCTCAGGTAAAATATACGTACACAATTAAATCACTTATAAATCAAATATATTCAATACGAACGCAATCAAATCACTTTCAATCTCTTATTTAACCTCCAACTAATTCAGGTTGCTAAAAATTACCAACATCGTGTCAGATACTCAATATTTTTTATAATATTAATTTAGCTACAACTCAATATTTTCCTAGTAATTAAAGAGTAACGCAAAAAACTTTCCTCGTTTGAATTTTTGTTATTTATTAATATTAAATTCATATATAGCTTTTTTCTTTCTTTCTTTATGTTGTGGTAGTGGAATATCTAAGGATATGATATCGTAGAAAAAATTGCTTCTCTTTTAATTAGAGATTTTTTATTCGAGCTTTGAATATTAAAAATTCTCAATATAAAAAGTGTTTTCCTCTGAATGAGATTTTATATGACATAAATTTGAATTAATCAGATTTCAATACGAATAGCGATCGAAAAAACCCAAAAATATGTTGTGGTAGTGGACATGAAACAAAAATGAGAAAAATTTACATAATTGGACCGTTTCAAAGCCGCAAGAAATCACCGAGTTTTTTCTAATATGTACACCTCTTAACCGCGTCTCAAATTCCTATTTTTCCATTTCATACTAAAAAACTTCCTTCATAAGAAAAATCCCCACACGTTACTTTAACATTATTATTTTTTTTATATATAATCGTGATCTAGTATCTCCTATTAATAGTTATCAAGTAATTATATTCATTAAACTAGGATTGAGTAAGTATTTTATTTTATATATAATTATAAAATTTGAACCATTTATTATTTTATTTTTATATATATATTCCTGATATTCTAATCATTTAATAATTTTTGTTTCCGTTAAAATTTAAATATAGATTCTAAGAGAACCTTAGTATCTCAGTTGGTTGACTGCTTGAACTCTCACCTTGTTGAGAAGGGTTCGATCTGATCACATTATAATCCCCTTCCTTTCGCCTTTCCCTACTCCCAATTTTTTTTAAAAAAAAATATTCTACTTTAAGGTTATTTTAAATGTCCACAAAAAACATTTGCACCATAATATATTTGAGAAATTTCTTATTAACTTCCCCACAACATTCTTTATATTTTCTTATAATTCAACCTTCGTCATTATCAAAAGTTGCAACTGAGCTAGTTTCATTTGTTCCTATCTTCTAGTCTCTTCAACAACCACCAACCATTAAAAAAAAAAACTCTTATTGTGTTCAAATTTATAAGAGTTTATACTTCTCTTTCTTTTACTTGTTTCTCATTGAGTGAGGAAACAAACAAGTGAAAGGGAAGTAGCCATGGGAAGAAAACTTGATGCTTTACTAGGAAGAAACTTTAAAATTAGTAAATTCAAGGCCACTGCAAATTTAGCCATTTCCAGGGTTACTGTACTCAAGAACCAACGCCAAGCACGGTGCTCGATCGCGCGGTCTGATGTGGTTCAGCTCTTAAACCTTGGTTTCCATGAAAGAGCTCTTCTAAGGGTAACTTATTTATTTCACTATGTTATCATTTTGATCATGTGGGGATATGTATAGTACATATTTCGAGTCAGAAGTAATAGATTCAGTTGAACTCACAGAACCGATATGTTTGTAGGTTGAGCAAGTGATCAAGGAACAAAATATGTTGGATGTGTTTGACATGATAGAAGGCTATTGTCTTCTCACTATTGAAAGAACCAACCTTATTCAACAAGAGAAGTTAGTGTTTTTAATTTATTTATGTTTTCAATTATGGATATGTGTATATGTTTTATTTTTTTGAAAATCTTAGTAGCTCAGTTGGTTGACTGTCACCTGGTATTAAGCTTTCTCATGATCTGTCTGTAGAATATGTCCTGAGGAACTGAAGGAGGCGATATCGAGCTTGATTTTTGCAGCTTCAAGGTGTGGTGAGTTCCCAGAACTTCAGGAGCTTCGAGCAATTTTCACGTCAAGATTTGGGAAAGAATTCGCAGCTCGTGCTGTTGAGTTAAGAAACAATTGTGGAGTAAATACAAAGGTAATAATTAATAGAACATCTGGTATAGTATTCTATCGTAGTCTACGAACAAAATGGCATGCTAATAATGTACTCATTTACTGTTTTTTTCGCAAAGTAGATGATACAAAAGCTGTCAAAAAGGATGCCTAGCTTAGAACAAAGGACCAAAGTGCTTAAGGAAATTGCAGCAGAGAATAACATTGTTTTGAAAATTGAGGAAATAATTTTGGAAAATACAGAGGTATGTTTTGAGATGAGTCTTGAATTATATTATTCTATTTTTGAAGTAAATTTTTAAAGAACTTTTACGATGAAAACAGGAGGAGGAGGTCATCGCGAAAAGGAAGGACCAGCCTGAAGATCACATACCAGTTTTACCTCAAAATGTAGACCATGAAGCTAGGAGAAAATATAAAGATGTAGCAGCTGCAGCTCAAGCAGCTTTTGAATCTGCTGCTTATGCAGCAGTAGCTGCCAGAGCAG